CCGTGGTGTGGCAGACCTCTCCTGTCTCACCCGCTGCTCCCCTCAGCAGTGTACTTCCTTGATCTGCCTGTTCTGGTCCCCGCTCTGTCTCTGGTGAAGCCTCTCGCCTTTCTCTCCCACCTCTGGCTTATACCCCAGCTCTTGTATGCATGAATAAATTCTTTTTTCTTTAAAGGATTAAATTGACAGTAAGTTTTAATGTTGCATGTAATTTATTATAGTCTAGTTTTCTAAAAATCAGTAATTCATATGTAATTAGTATAGGCAGTTAACTTGAATAAGAAATAATGCTAGGGCAGTCTATGTCTAAAAATTTTACATATATAATTTTCTCTGTTTTTCTACATATAGCATAAAACTTTTATTCAATAAAATCAAAGTATCTCTGTAAATAAAGTATCTCTGTAGCATAAATCACTCAATTACTGAAGAAAAATTTGTTGAAAGGAGAAAACAAAACATCCTCCTGTGGGACATTTATACCTAGCTGAGAAATATCTGAGCATGGAAAACAACTTGTGACTTTACGCACATTGATGAAATAAAATGACATCTTTTCAGCATTCTTTCAGGGAATACAACAGGATAACTATGGAGCATATAGTTAAAAATACCATCTTAGAAAGGATTAATAGTGATTACAGAAATCAGAAATGCAACCTACCTAATTTAGCCATCTTCTCAGAGTGTTTTCTATTCTGAAAAGAATAAACTTTATTCCCACCATCTACAGTAGATCCATTTTTTAGGGATTCTGAAAAAAAAAAAGTTACATGCATTTAGGAAAAATGGGCAGCTAATTAGCAGGTAAAAGAAAAAACTGACAAAACTTAAGATTTGTATCTTTTATTATTTTGCAGTAAGGGTTTATTACATATTTACACATAAAATACTTTAAAATAGCTATGTACTACTTATAAAAATTAAAACACAGAAACCAAGTTTATGGAGAAATTGTTACTGCAATTATGTACTTATATGTTTGACATGGAAGCACAATGACTAAAAAAAAAATCTGGTAATTGTTATATAAACTACATTAAAGGAATTAGAAAGAACTGATAGAAGTTAGTAACTTAAACAACTAGCTTCAGATTGAGAATCAGGAACAAAAGAGAAAGCACACTAGCAGATTGCATCCAGTGTCACTAAATGGTCAATTTACTACAATGAAATGAAACTGAAAATTCTAAATCATGTATAATGGCTGTACTACCTTAAAAAAAAATGCAAGCTAAACAAAAAGGTGATGCTCTTCTACCAGCTGACCTCTGGCAAACTCAAAAACAAGCAATTGGTTCTTGTCTGTGACTGGTGTGTACATGTGCACTTACCTGTAAAGCAAAATGCTTAGAGTATGGTTCTAGTTTTTATTTTTTCCTGGTTCCAACATTTTTGTGATTTCCCAGTTAGATGATTGACCAGCTAACAAAGGTTCTAATCACAGTAGCCAAAAAGACCTTTTAATATACATTAAATCTTCTAGTTTTTAAATTACTCAAAATACACAATACCAAAAAATATGAATAAAAAAAATTCACAGAAGTGGCTAATAATATAAGAAAAAAGGTTTAATGATGACAAAGGATCTCAATACAAACTGATATAATCTTCCCAGAAAGTTGACAAAATCTATTCCTTAAACAGATCATATACTTTCAGCCCTCCCTGGTGGCGCAGCAGGTTAAAGCACAGCACTAAGAAGCTTAAGCCACTTTCACATGAGTTCGATCCCCGCCTGCTTGGGAGCCTGCCCAGGAGGAGATCCACATGGCACGGCAGACCTCTCCTGGTCCGCCCACTGCTCCCCTCAGCAGTGTACTTCATTAGTTGGCCTGTTCTGCTCCCCACTCTGTCTCTGGTGAATCCTCTCACCACCCTTGAACCTCTGGCTTGTATCCAAGTTCTATATGAATAAATAAATCTTTAAAAAAAAAATTGCACTTCTAGGGATTTCTTATGAAGAAGAAATCTCCAAGGGTAATCACTACTGCATTAATTACAAAAACAAAAGAAACAATCCAAAATCTAGTAAAGGAAACCATATATTATTTATAAATTAGAATGCAATTATTAGTCAGCTACTAAAATTCTTTCTGTGCAGAGAATAATCTCATATTCCTCATACCCATTAGGATAGCATTAGTTTAAAAAAAATCCAGAAAATAACAGGTGTCAGGGAGGATGTAGAATAATAGGAACCCTTGGGAACCACTGGTAGAGATGTAAGTTAGTTATTTGTATGGGAACAATATGGTGGTACATCAGAAAATAAAAAATCAGAATGACCACATCACCTAGCAATTCCACTTCCAAGAATATATGCAAAGTAATCTGAACCAGGGCGTCCCTGGTGGCTTTCGGGTCAAATCTCAGAGCCATCACTGCAATGGCCTGCCACGACTGCCTGAGTTCAATCCCCAGACAGGGAGTTGACATACACGGTGCAGCAGACCTCTCTGGTCTTGCCCATGTTCCCCCTAGCAATGTTACCTCAGTCAGTCTACTTACTCCTTTCCTCACTCTGTTCCTGGTGAATTCTCTCACCCTCCTACCCCAAATTTGATGGATTAACAGGTTATGAGAATTATTCCAGGCATGTGTGTTGCTTATAAGAAACAACATATACTTCAATAGTAAGTAAAGTGATTAATTAATACAGATGCTGTTGAAAAGTTTTTTCTTTCTTTTTTAACACTTGTTAAAGATTGCTTTTCAAGCAGCAGCTTTCCTGCCTGCCTGTGTATGCCATGTATGTGTATAGGTATAGAGGCAGAAGATACATGCAAAAACTGTTACCAGTTCCATGTTCTTTTAAGCACACATTCTCAACAAGAAAAGTTTTGGTTGAGAAATACTGCTCTAAGACAAAGTTTCAGTGTGCAGAAATTAAGGGTATGGGCTGTGGGTAGGCTAAGATTGGTCCTCTTAGGTTTAAGGATGCAAATCAGGGTTGGGATTGGAATCAAAAGTCTCAAGGCATTTGTCCTTAGTCTGGAGTATTCTCCATTTAGCCAAGTTTGCTCCCAAATATCATTTGCTGTGGGTGCAATATGTGAATAAGGTTGGAAGGACTGAGTTCTTACTATAAATATGTATTACTTTTACAATAAGAAATAATTTTTAAGAAAATGAAAGGCATTTTGGGGGAATAATGTTTTCAGGATCTTCTTAGGCCTACCAGAGGTAGTCAAGAATCCAAAGTTCTATTCACAATATGCCCTAAAAATGTGAACTATTAGGCAGGATGGATTCTTTCAAATGTGTCTCCAATTAGAGTTCTGGAGTTAGATGGCCATATAATATTATGAAGGTATTTAATACAACTGAACCTTAAAAGTGGTGAAGATGATAAAGCTTATGTTATGTGTATAAAAAAAATTGTAAACAAATAATATATATAGCACACCATTGCTTAAACTATTAACTACTTTTATATGTCCTGCAAAGCAAATTTACTAGTAGAAACATGTGTGTATACTTCCCACTCTCCAGAACCCCACTCCCACTCCACCTGAAATACCTTGAACATCTCGTCCTAAAACTTCCACATAGTTCTGATCTTTAAGGACTTCCTGGTCATCTTCCTCCAAATCATATGCTGGCTTCTTTATTAATTTTTTTGTGTTGACCAAAAGCTGAGGTCGATCCTTTTTAAATTTAGTTCCTATAAGAATGTACAAAGAATTAGAACATGATAGATATAATTTAAGTAAATTAGTATATTGTCATTACTTAAAGCTTGGAAAAAATTCAGTGTTTTCTTTTTGATTCAAGTAAGACCATGTTCTACAGTTTATATAACTAAGTTAAGAAAAAACTCTTGACTACCTATTTTCTAGAGTAAAAATAATCATGCATTTTGCCTAAAAATGGGTAGTTATTACTTACTGCTACTATTACTAAAAATTTCATATTAGATCAGGCTTTTAATAAAAGTTTAAATGGAGTAAACTAAAACTTAATTTTATTCAGTCTTATTCAAATACTTTGTGCTACATCTTCAAAATAAAATATTTTATTTGCCAATAAATATTTTTAAAAGGAAGATAATCCATAAGCATTACATAACTTTTCAGTGTTATGTATAATCACTTAGTTATATAATTTGACTGTACTATACAATTGTATAATCACTCAGTACCTCCTTCTCTATCAAGAATGTGATTAAGAACATCATCATCTCCCACAAACTGAACCTCCAGCATCTTGTCTTCTTGTAATTCCACTTTACTCATTACTGCCAACCTAAACAAAAAATTATGTATTCAGGTTAAGTGATGAAAAATTCACACAAACCAAATAAACATTCACATAATGAACACATGCATTTGCATAACTTTTAAAATTTCGTTTACATATGAAAAATACACTGCATTACTGTGCTCATATTCTGTTTCTTTCTTTCTTTTTTTTTTTTTAAAGATTTATTTATTTGTGCATACAGAACTGGAGTACAGGCCAGAGGCTCAGGGGCAGTGAGAGGCTTCACCAGAGACAGAGTGGGGAGCAGAACAGGCAGATCGACGAAGTACACTGCTGAGGGGAGCAGTAGGCGGGTCAGGAGAGGTCTGCCACGCCATGTGGTCACCTCTGGGGCAGGCAGGAATCGAACTCATGCAGATGTGGCTTCAGATTCTCAGTGCTGTGCTTTAACCCGCTGCACCACCAGGGAGGGCCACTCTGTTTCTTTTTCAAAATTTTTTTAAAAGTGTATTTATTTAAGCATAGAATAGCTGAGGTATAGGCCAGAGATGCAGGTGGTAAGAGGGTTCACTAGAGACAGTGGGGAACAGAATAGGCAGTTCCACTGAAATACACTGCTGAGGAGAGCAGTGGGCAAGACAGAAGAGTTTGCTGCTCCATATGGGTCAGCTCCCTGCCAGGGGATCAAACTTATGCTGTGGTGGCTGCAGATAGCTCCAAAGTACTGTCTCTTAACACTTGTGCCACCAGGGAGGCTCCTCTCAAGTTCTGTTTTGGTAATAAGTAACTCAATTCATTTGAAAAACAGAAGAGAGGATCTACGCCTAGATTTGGAAAGAGCCAAAGTCAAATCCAATTAAGGTAACCAAAATGTAATAAAAGGAAAAACAATTTTGCCTATAAAATTCTAACCAATCTATAGGCCATTAAAAGAAATGGGATGGTTAATACACTAAAGTTTAGGAAACAGGTATTCAAACGAAGAATAACAGCTTGGTGAATTTTTTTACTTTTATTTTTAATTTATTTTTACAGGTATATTGAGACAAGGAGAAAAAGAGGAATTAGCATAGTCATAGGTGGGCAGGAGGGAGGCCTGGTGGATTTTAATATCTGTAAAGATATGTAGACAACTGGGGTAAGTCTGTGGTACTTTACTGGTGTACCAAGCCTGGATCAAATAACTTTCAAGCAATTTCCTTTATTACATTGCATGTTTATGAAACAACTTTATGATTATGAATATGGCTTTCTAGGAATTTTGATAACTAAATAGTAAACCTAAGTCTTTCACAATTTTGCAAATCATTTCTTCAATGAACAAATTTCAGTTTGGCAAGCAAAAGCTTGATCAACTCTGGCTAGTTTGCCAAATTGTGGTTCAGAACTTCTAATTTATTAAACGTTGCAAGTTTTCTTGATAACTAACACACTTGAATGACTTGTTTCAATTTTCATTTACCTTTCAAGGTTCTACATATTCTGCAGCTGGGAAATTCAGGTAGACACCTGTAACTGGAAAAAGAATTCAGTCAGGGTTTTCTCATCAGAAAATGAAAGCAACCAAAGATGTTCATGAGTTTTACGAAACACGATGAATAAATTCAGTCCTTATAAAGTCAAAATAATTATGAGGGAGAAGTAAAGAGCAAGAACCACCATTACCATTTTAGTCAAAACCCTAAACACTGAGAAGATCTGGACTGGAGGACTTGGGGGGAAAGTAGGTTGGGTAGGTCAGTTTTGACTGTTCTATATGTATTCTAATTTAATCTTCACATTAATTCTATTAGATTTTTAAGTTGGGTACAGAGACAATATTTCTTCTGTAATTTATACAATCAATGACAAGAGACTATATCCATTAGGACTACCTTTCCAGTTATGATACTGTTCATTATTTTGAATTTGGCTGTATTAGAGAAAAAGTTGAACGCATCTATACAGCATCTGTATAAACTTATGATTTCTTTTCATTTATTTATTTTTAAAGATTTATTTATTTATGCATACAGAACTGGGATACAGGCCAGAGGTTTAGGAGCGGTGAGAGGATTCACCAGAGACAGAGTGGGGAGCAGAACAGGCTGACTGATGCACTCCTGAGGGGAGCAGCAGGCAGATCAGGAGAGGTCTACAGCACCTGTGGGGCGGGTATTGAACTCATGCTGAAGTGGTTTTAGATTCTCAGTGCTGTGCTCTAACCTGCTGCACTACCAGGGAGGGCCCTCTTTCTTTTTATTTTTTTTAAAAATATATATTTTTATATCTATATAAAGTCCTTTTGAAGAGTTGTTTGTCAAGCACTGTTATTAGACAATGTATGCATATATTTGAAGTAATTACAATACATATGTTCAGGTATGTGTGTGTGCACGTGATTTCCCCAATTTATAGAGAGTAAACCAAGGTTGAATATTTTATTCACACAATTAGGAAGTGTATTGGGGTAGAGACCCAAGTTTTATTGGCCCTGGAGTTCCTGATAATTCTATTCCATCACATACTTTTACTGTTATCTTAAATGCTTGTTTTAACCTCTGGAAACAATTTGTAATAGATCTTAATTATTTTCCTACATGGCAATTCATATACCCAAAGACTTCTATTGCTGCTGCAGACTTCCAGTTCATTAAGTTATAAACATCACTTGTTCTACCAACTATACTTTGAAGACCATGGTCAGAATTCAGCATACTCTACATTATTTTAAATTATATATTGTTGTGTTCTACATAGGTTTAGAGCAATGCAATAACCAAATAAAATAAAACAAATGATAAACTCTAAATAACTAATCAGGAGTTTAGTTCAGGAAACTATAAATAAAAGCACAAAATAAAATCAAGCTAAGAATTTTGACTTTGAGCTTCCTGGCAATCAAAGTGAAAGAAATAAAGGTTACTTGTAACCTGTTTCATTAGCAAAAGTTTGGTTGCTCCAACAATTACACAATAAAATGCAAACATATTGTGACCATCAACCCCTTAAAACATTGTCTTGGATGTTTATTTTTAAGTGGATTCTTTTAAAAAAAAGTTAACTACAAGTCAATATAGTAGCACTAAATGTGGTGTATTAACAGCAACAGATTTTTTAGAGACCAAGTAAAGGATTTGTGCAATTTCTAAAAATTTACCATCGTTGTTCATTATTAGACAGTATTTGATTTCTCCCCTCAAATATAGCCCCTAGAGTGGATTTGTGGAATTTTAAAAAGTATAATCTTTGAAAGAGAAAGTGGTATGATCAGCAGCTAAGCAGCAATTGTAGTATCAATAACTCACGACTGATCTTTACACATAGATTCCATAAAAATGTGATCACTGATTGTGTGCCTAGCATCTGAAAGTGCTAATTAAATGTTCCCTATTATTGACACTCTAAACTTTAACTGAACCATTTGGATCTCTTGTCCCGCTTGATGTCACATCTAACACAAAAAGGGCTCATTAAATGATGTCCATTTAACCGTGTAGTGCCACTACACAAAATGCAGAGATGCAGGGTCATGCTCTTTTTCTACAGGCTGCAGATTAAAGAAAATGTAGTGACGCTATCAGGATTTCTACTGTAAAACGAAAATATAACATCATTATTCTTTTAAACTTAAAAAGCTTGACCAGCAAACCCGGTTTATCAACATTTTGCAACCACGCATTGTCCCAGGCTGATTAGTTAACGGGACTCAGGAGGCGTCTCCAGTCTGGGATGACATCAAAGGGGCTCACTCTGGCGGCCGTTCTCTTTCTCCTCCGCCCACACTGAACCTGCTCCTTTCACCAGACAATGACCTCTTTCGTAGGGCACGCTCACAGTTTTCTTTACCAGCACAGGGCTCCTTAAGTCTGTGACGTGCTGGTCACAGACGCTTGCACGAAGGGCCTAACGTGCAGGGCCAGAGACCGTCTGTCACCCCAAGTACTTAAGCACCTGGGCCTGGGTACCCCCGCAGCCTATCAGCCGGCTGCGCCCAGTCGGCGGGTGGTCCCGGTACCCGCCGGGGCGGTGGGGAGCCTGGAGAAGCAGGGGGAGGCAGCCGACCCTGCCCCGATGGCCGAGGGGAGGACCCGCGCGCCCTGGCCAGCCGGCCGCGAGGCCGGGCGCACCTGCACTCACCTCCAGCCCCGGACGAAGTTGCAGGGGAAGGCAGGCTGCCGGGGCGCCCCACCACGCACCGCTAGGTCCGTGCCCGGCGCGGCTCGGGCCACCTCTAACCTGCCGGACACTATCCCGCCGGGGGGGAGCCGGCCTCGGTCCCAGCCGGAGGATACAAAATGCTGTAACCCTAGCCAGAACTGGGTCGCAGGGTCGGGCAGGGGAGGGGAGGCCTGCTGCACACCAAATCTCCCGCCCTACTAGGGGGCGGGGCCCCGAGGAGCCAATCGGAAGCGGATTCGGCTGAGAACGACGGCTCTTCCGGCCAGTCGACGGCGGCCTGTCAGCCCCGCCCGTCAAGAAACCTGAGAAAAACGAATCCCCCAGGCGTCGGGATCGCGGCCTTTACCCCTTCCGTTTCCGGGGAAGGAAGAAGGAAGTGTAGGTTAGAGCTGAGGGTCTTGGGTGCAGCCGGTAGAGTAGGTCTCCTATAGCCTGGGGCAATATTGAAAAGCGTTAGTTGGTTTTTTCTAGATACCGTCTTTTGAGGAAAATGGAGGTGGCGTCTCGTCGTTTTTAAAGAAATATTTTAATTCATTTGGCGTGAAAGGTAGGATCCCATACATCATCTTAAGCGTGTGGGGGTTGACAGCAGGGGAGAAGACCGGAGAATGAGGGACTGGGCGTTGAATTCGGAGATGGGATGAGACAATAATATTAATTGGATAGAGACTGAAGAAATCGAATGAAAGATTTTTATCAAGACTTGAAGAAAAGAGGGAATAGACCTGCTGGTTCATTCTTTTAGTATTCCCCACCAACGATTCATTCATTCATTCATGCTGTGATGTGGGAAGTCCAGTGCGTCCTGGACCAGTCAGGAACAGTTTCCTTGGAGGAAGACATGTCTCACCTGAAACTTGAGGATTGAGTAGATAAAGGAGGAGTAAAAATTTCCGGGCAGAAGATCCAAATCAGTATAGTAAGGTGCATTAAAGTAGTAAGTTCCAAGTGCCGGAGTTACGGTGTTATCACAGTCTGGTTTGGCTCTTGGGGCACTAGTCAGATCACTACTGAAAGATCATCCTGAGTAAAGAGTGAGCATAGGGGAAGGAACAGGAGCCCCACGAAACTGAAAGTGTTTAGGAAATCCAACTGAGGAAGGAATGAAGGAAGCCTAGATACATCTGTATTCCATTTCGATTAGACAGGTGTTAAGAAAACAAGAGAAACTTAATTTTTTCTTCTTTTAAAAATAAATAATTTGGAAAATGAGCAAAGAGAACATGGCCTACTGCTAACAATGAAGTGTTTGGAGAGTTCTTAAGTTGAACATCTAGAAATATTGAATTTTCAATTAACTAAGTTCTTTACTTTTCTCTAACATAAACTCTCTTCCATTTCCCCCCTCAAATCTACACTATAGTTTCTACCGATTCAGATGTTAATAGTGTGGTGAGCTTTGATTCTGCTTTCATGATATATGTGTGAAAAATAGGAAAGTTGCTGTTTTCTATTTAGGTTAATATAAAAAGCTAAAGAGACTATTATTTAGAGATGGGGAATTTAGCTGTGGCTGAAAATTGAGTACGTGGCAACTCCCCCATCTATTCACAGAAAGTTTGGATGAAACATACTTTTCCATAGGGAAACACTGAGGCAAGTTAATTTTTGTGTATTTTAAGGGGATAGAGCAACCAACTAACTGATTGTAGTTTTAAATTTAGGATTTTGCTTCAAAAGTTTTTAACATAATCTGATCAAGCATAAAGAATTGAATGCTTTCTTGAAATGCCACTAAAATGATGGAATAAAAAAAGTATAAACAGATATACAATTAAGAGAGTAGGAAAAGAAGTGAGATAAATTCACAAACTTTTGCAAGATTGTGGTAATTAGGTAAAGCAAAGGAAGGTCAGGCCTGCAAACGAGACACCAATAAGAAGCACAGAACCTGCCACAGTTAGTCTCAGGAATTTGACTGCAAGAACCTCTAACATCAGGAGAGCAGTGTGAAGCTAAAAATTCCACACTGGAGTGGAGGACTGGTTGAAGTCTGAAGCAAGAAACATTACATCACGTATTTCCTGTCCTACTTAACAGAAAACCAGGAGTTTACAATGTAAACCAGAGAATATCATCTAGACTCAATACAACAGTTAGAAATGAGATGAGGCCCTCCCTGGTGGCGCAGCGGGTTAAAGCACAGCACTGAGAATCTGAAGCCACTTCCGCATGAGTTCAAATCCCGACTGCCCCGGAGGAGACCACCTGGCGAGCCAGACCTCTCCTGACCCGCCCGCTGCTCCCCTCAGCAGTGTACTTCGTTGATCTGCCTGTTCTGCTCCCCACTCTGTCTCTGGTGAAGCCTCTCACCGCCCCTGAGCCTCTGGCCTGTACCCCAGTTCTGTATGAATAAATAAATCTTTAAAAAAAAAAAAAAGAAATGAGATGAAAAGTCATCTGAAATTGGGAAAGACTGGACAGATTATGTAGAAGACTAGGAACTTACTTTTGTTTACTCCCAGTACACTGGCAACTAGTCAAATCCCTTGGACATTAAATATAAATTTTCTCTTCAGGAAAACTTAATCAGAAGACAGAAGTCCCCAAATGAAAAAGCTGGTTCACCTCTCCGTCCACATGGAAGTCTACTGATAAGCTTTGTCTTTGTAGCATCACCAAAATTTTGAAGAAAGCTTTGACTCCAAAAGAAAAAGACAGACTGGTGATAGACTACAAACTAAAGAATTATATCACAAAATGTAATTGTAAAAATTATTGAAATTTTATACCCATAAAACAAGGACTATGAAATTAGTAAAACTTAGATTTTTAAGGGAAAAATAATTGTTTTAATTTTTATACTGTAGACTACATGAAGATATCAGCTACACATTTTTCTTCACCAGCAGTCTCATCTGTCAGGACAATGAAGAAAAGCAGAATGTCTTTAATCATTTAGACAACCGAGTTTAAAATGTAAAATTAGGGCTCTTAGCTGGTGGCACAACAGGTTACAGCACCGCATTATGAAGCTCTCCATAGCTACTGCAGCACAAGTTCAATCCCTGGCCAGGGAGCAGACATACATGGCAAGTCAAATCTTTTGCTACTCCCCTCAGAAGTGTACTTCAGTAGAACTGCTTGTTCTCCCCACTCTGGTGAATCCTGTCACCCAAAACACCTCTGTCCTGTACCACAGTACTATAAGCATAAATAAATCTTTTTTAAAAAATGTAAAATTAGGGTCCTCCCTGGTGGCACAATGGGTTGAAGTGCAGCACTACCCAAAGCTTGCTGCAGACGCTTCAGCACAAGTTTGATCCCCAGCCAGAGTGGTGACCCACACTGCAGGCATAGCAGACTTCTCCAGTCTCACTCACTGCTCCCCTCAGCAGTGTACTTCCTCAGTCTGCCTGTTCTGCTCCCCACTGTCTCTGGTGAGTTTTCAAGTTTAATTATTTTCATACTCAAATTATATTTTATGTGATTAATTTAAAGAATATGTTTATTTGTTCACTAACTACTGCATAGATGTCAGTGAGAAATCAAAATTAAACAGCAAGAACCAGGTTTGGCTTTGAACAAGCTAAGAGATGCTTGCATTGATTTGGAAAACTCAGCTTAAGTTGCTGCTTCTCCTCTGGTTCTTTCTCTTTTTTGAATTTTTTGAATGATTGAGTTTATTCATTTAACTTTGAGCATCTTACCTGTACCAGCCCCATTGTGCTCAGCTCTATCTCTTACTCTTAAATAACTTAAATGGTTAGAAATAAATAGATAACTTCGATGAGGTGGACACATAAAGGTCGAATTTGCTTTTGAATTAGTTACGACAGCTACTATAGGCTCAGCTGGTGGATGGAATAGCAGAGGAAAGGCATAAATATGTAATAAACCCTTACTGCAAAAAAAGTGCCTCCATAGGTACTCTCTACCAGAGATTTTTTTTTTTTTGATCAGGAGAAAAAGATGGCATTTTTTAAAAATCTGAGCATCTAGGAGTAAAAGAGAATATGGTAGCCAGGACCTACTTCAGCTCCAGGATTATTTTTTTAACCAGTGATGATGACATCCTCATAAAGCATACAGATTAGTAGCAACAAAAATGGCAGCTTAAGTCTTAAAATTGTACACATTAAATTTTGGAAACAAGTTTTGGAACATAGTCTTCATCACAGAATTTGAGAGCATGCATAAAGCCATTATTTATAACAGTTGTGACTAAGTTATTACTTAAAATCCTGTGCTTACTTTGAGGAAATGGGTCAAGCCTATGTCTGGAGAATTCTCTTGAATATTGGAGAGTATGAAATAAAATTCTTTCAGAATGTCATAGTGGTTTTAGTTCAATATTAAACAAATGATTTGGAACTCGTTTGTGTAAGTCAGCATATATTGCAATAAAAAATGAATGAGCTTAATGTGTATGAGCTTAAACATTGGCTCCTAAAATACCAAAAGTGATTGGTCCTTCATGTGAGTTTTAGTAGTAGTCAGTCCACCTTTTTCTGATACACCTTTTGTGATACAGACTAGAGTTGTGTGTGGGAAGGCTAGGTATATAGATCCTTCACTGTCACTATTTTATTACATAAACTTGCACTGATTTTTCCCTTTATACTTTAAGTTTTGCAAAATGAACATTATTTTTAAAAGATTTATTTATTTATGCATACAGAACTGGGGTACGGGCCAGAGGTGCAGGGATGGCGAGACAGAGTGGGGAGCAGAACAAGCAAGTCAATGAAGTACACTGCTTAGGGGAGCAGCGGGTGAGTCAGAGGAAGTCTACTGCCCTATGTGGGTCACCTCCAGGGCTGGGGATTGATCCCACACTGAAGCGGCTGCTGTCAGCTTGCAGTGCTGCACCTTAACCCCAAACATTACATTTTTAATAAAATTTAAAAACCCTGGTAGCTCACCGGGTTAAAGCACAGCACTAAGAAGCTATCTGCTGCCATTGAAGCATGAGTTCCATCCTAGGATAGGGAGCTGACCCATATGGTGCAGGCAACTTCTCCTGCTTGCCCACTGCTCCTCCCCTCAGCAGTGTATTTCAGTATATCTGCCTGTTCTGCTCCCTACTCTGTCTCTGCTGAATCCTCTCACCACCACCCCCACACACCTCTGACCTGTACCCCAGTTCCTCTATGCATAAAAAAATCTTTTAAAAAAATTAAAAAGTC